AATTTTCATTTATTCAATTTAGATAATGTTGGCACATCTGGTTGTTTGCGATAAGAAGTTTTGTTACCGCACGAGATTTAATTAGCGCACGTGTTCCTATCGCTGTTAGAACAGATAACAGAGATTTATTCCTGCGAAGCTTGCGTTATCAAGTCTAATTATGATTGGCGGTGTTTTGGAAAAACATTGAGGAAGGAGATTAATCTTATAGTGGAAGTGGTGTTCTTTTAACCTTCATGTAGCTGCGTGGGGCGGTGGATTACCGTTATATACATAAAACCCCACAACACTTCTTCCAGGGGGATATAGGGGGAGGGAGGGAGGGCGACATAAGTGTGTATTCTCAAGTACAACATTATGACGTTAGATTATGTTTGAATCCACTCTTTAGGTTTGATTTTCTGTATGAACAGGAGTGATCCAAAGTTTAGTAAAGCGGTAAATTACTGTCACGCGCCCGGACCTGTAATTTTTTTCTCTGATCCAGAAACAAAATTTAAGTCACTACTACTGATAAATTTATGTTCTTTGTTCAGCTATTATTTATATTATTTTTGGCTTTCATTGGATGTGCACCTGGTAATCAATAAATGCAAATTAGTAGTGCTAGTGACTCATTCTATGTATGTAGAATATGCAAGTGTGACTCTTGTTGTTGGCAGCTTGTACATTGAAAATATATTACGCAACAATATTTTTTCTTTACGCGAAATGTTTTGTTATCGAAAAGGCCCTAATTGCAACCATTATACAGGGTGTTACATGACCGCATGTAAAAACAATTGGGTAATAGAGGGGATCAAGACAAGCACTTTTTCAAAATAAACCGAGGATCCAACGTGTTTTTCGTTTGGGAGCTACCCAAGTGGTGAAATTTGGATTTCTTGTTTAATTTTTTCTTAGCAACCATAAGAGTTACAAAGATGGGTGGTACGTCTTTGAATGGGTTTTCGGGTATGCCCCATCCGATTTTGAATTTTTTTTTTTCAAAATTTTTACTACTAAAGGGCGCATCCCTACTTGGGAGTGCGAAAAAAAAATTCTGATTTGAAGATTTCCCTTCTACTCCTTACTGTTTAAAACTCCTTAAAAATGAGTCACAAATAAAGGTGATGGTTTCGACGGAACTTGATTTTTGAAGGTTTTTCAAAATAAAAACAACAAATTCAAAATATTCTGAATTGGCCTACCTAGGTACCTCATAATCTATGACGGAACCCGGATTAGAACCAGGAGCGCTCAGTACCGCGGCCGACCATCCTCTATGCCATGGGAGTAGATTTTTCTACACTACAAATCCGCCCAGCGAATTAACAAATTCCTATTATTTAACATAGATGAATCTAGTACGACACGTATTAAGTCTACGATTTTTCGTTGACTGGTTAAGATTTGCACTTTTTCCATTGAAAAAATGTCAAAAGTTAAATCTTTATTCGTTACTTAGATAATTGTTCAAAATCCTTCCCAGAATAGTTGCTGCCTTGCTCTAAAAAGCCTCTCTGACTTGAGAGTAACACTATCCAATGTCGTCGATAAGGGAAAATGTCACAATTTTGTCGCCCCACTTCCGCTTCCCGATGTACGAAGGCAGATAATCGAACGGTGCAGTCCGCACGTAGGCCACCACCATAGAGTCTGTTATAGCTAACTGCAAGTAGGAACAGGATTAATGCAATACGAGTACAATCTGTTTGAAGTATGGGGTTAATCCTAAACACAGTCAGTTTAGGAAACTAAATCCTTAAAAAAATTGTCTGTAATGTCCCACAAAATGTTAGTATTGAATGAAAAGTTCGGACCTGCGCATTGAACAAAACAGACCTGGTTAGTCTTTAGCATGGGAACGAGTAACTGACGCGGTTAGCATTTAAATGAAGTATACTCGTAAATTGCGTTGATAAAACTGCTTACTTTCACCATTAGGGAGGTAAATAAAACTATCTTCTTATTATGTATTAATAGACAAAGTCATGATTTCTCATACATTTTTAGATCATAATGCTGTGCTACGAGTTGTAGTAGTTCGGAAATACCGGTGAGGCACAAATCGTCACTCTTTAAACTCAATCAAGAGGAGAATCTTGACAATATACAACACCAGAGAATATTCTTGATTTTAGCTTAGCAACCTTGTACCACAGATATACGTCGTATATACTATGTTGGACAAGTTGATTTGTTAGTGTTATTCTGCAATATGCGATATGTAATTTCTAATGCCAACAAACACGCCGTATGCCTAACAACCATAGAGGCTCGTCTCCAAAGTACGCGCCAAGTGGTTGGATGCCGACAATTTAGAGTGGAAAACTACACTAGGCACTTATCTTTGCGCTAAACAAGATTTTCATGTTTCAAGCAGAGCGAAGCGCAAAGTTCAGCATATACGAGGCATATACACGTAGAAGGGAAGGTTGAAGTGCAAAGAGCAAGAGATTAACTAAGAGTTAAATCAATAAGGTTTTAATTAGGACACATGCAATTAAACCGACAATCCGTTTTACCCATTAAGTTTCAAATATGTATTCGATGACCTACAGTGCTTTTCAACTAATTACGAGTACTAACACTGCTAGCGATTGCCAAATCCCTCAAAATCAGGGTTATACAGTAGAATCGAGATAAGGGGATCACCTCAATATCTTTTATTTGGCGATATACGAACAATTTGACAAATATAATTTTGTATGCCACATTACCATCTTTCCGATCGCATATTGAAATTTCCGGTATCACTTCCTGTTTGACCGGCAATAGATGTGCGTTTTTAATGTATTTTAAAAGAGCAATAAATTTGCTCTACGCATATGGTTGATATACAATAAATTGAGAAATTATTGATTCAGTAACTAAAAAACCTACGAATTCGAGCATATTACACAGAAAAAAAACCTATATCAACTTTGTTCAATGTTTCGTTTTGAAGATTTACTTTTGCGCGATACCGTGTAACACAACAGACAGTGTGCATTCTGACAGCACACAGCATGCCGGATTTCATAAGTTTTTGACACTTTCTCTTCAGCGACAAGAACATGACTTCGTGGCGCACTAATAGGTGCAATTAATAGCATAATTATGAACAATAGGGATGCGTGAACTTTCGCCCACGAAATAATCCTTTAGTGTTAAAAAAGTCCTTAAATTTTACAACTGCACATTTTCGTTGTGGATAATTGGATTAAAATTTATAATAATTTAAAGAATATTTAATTTAGGTAAATTCGCACCGGTCTTCCCCCAGGAAGATTCACTCCCAGAAAATTCGCCCCCGGAAGACTCGCTGCTAGAATATTGACCCCGGATAATTTCACCCGCGGAAGATTCGTCCTCCGAAGATTCGCCTTCAGAATATTCGCAACCGGAAAACTCGACTGCGGAAAATGTATCCCCGGAGGTATCGGCTCGTGAAGATTCGCCTGAGGAAATAATTGAGGGAAGAAATTGAAAGCCGTCCGGCACACCTACGAAGGGAGTGATTTTCTTTGGGCGCGAAAGAACATACCTAATACATTATTCATTAACCGACTTTATGGCTCAATGGTAGAGTGTTCGACTGTAAATCCGGAGGTCGGCTGTTCGAACCTGGGTTGAGGTGAATTTTTCTTCTGTGGCAGAGATGGAAATTACCTTAGACCAGTTTCGAACATTCTGCCGGCTACTCCGAAGTAGGTTTTCCTGTAGTTTTCCTATTTCGTAAGGTAAATACCGGAGTAGCATAGAGCAACTTAAGACCTTCTGCAGAGGCACCTCTAAAAAACATTATGCTATATTAACAAGAGACGGATAATAAATAAATAAATAAACTATACCAAAGAGTATGGTTACTCTTTGATGATACTATTCACGAAAGACTTAAATTCATGCCACAAAGTCCAACTTTATACAACATAAATAGAGAAACGAAATTATTCAAATCAACGTACAGGATCGAAAATACCCGTCGGTACAATACTGATCCTTCCATTAGTTCGACGAGAACAACTTGTTCACAATATCGGTAATGTAGCCTTACACTATATTATGCAAATAATTGTTTATATTATAAATGAATTCATAATTACATATAATTATACTCGTATTATTAGCATTCGTTGAAGGTAACTAAGCAATTTTTGTCTGTTATTTCGGAACCAACTTCGGAGATTCTGTATAAGTTGTATACCTCGTTGTATACAATGTAAATTATGTCATCATACGCGCAGTAGGGTGGTTCAAAGAAACTTAATGCATGTAGGAATGAGATATAATTCAAGAGTATTGCTGTCGACCAGGAAAACATGGAAAAAGTCAACCTACTATTTCTCTTCTTTTGTAACTGTATGCTTTTAATGGAAAGCAAATAAAGACTATTATTATTATTACTAATAGAAACATTAGCTGTATCGACTCAAAGCAAACAATGATTAATCTGCAATATAAACTTCATGAGTATAGAATAGAATAGAAAACGAAAAAGAAAACGGCTTTTCCGATTTTTCTCGGAAAATGTGAGAAAAGTGTGGATACAATACTTGCGTGAAACGTTTTCGCCTAAAATTAATAGTATTACCACAAGTTGCAAAATACCACTTTCAACCCTTGTCAAACCCCGTGATTTCGCCCGCAGAAAAATTCAACTGTTTCAATTAGTTTCCCCCGATTTCGAATCACCTACATAAAAATCCCGGTTTCGGTCTCGAGCAATTTTTTTGTCAAAAAACATCTGAGGAAACCCCGTGATAAAACCCCAGAAAAAGCAGTTGGGAGCGGGAATAGAACCCGATAACTTGCCGTAGCGAAATAGACAGTTGATGGTTATGGCCAATAAGGTCCCTGATTCGATCACAGACTTGATCATGGAAATTTCAGTTTCCACAAAGCCCACTTATAAGAATAACGACACTAACATAATCGATACGAAAGGACCACAATGATTTTTGGTCAGTCTATTGTGTTGGAATAACTCCACACTATCATAAATCGTATACAAAATACTCAAAATTGACAGTTATCACTGTTTTGCAAATATGATTCAATTATTCAACACGCATTAAGACACTATAAATACACAACTACTAAACAAATTTGCTTCATTATACTGTGGTTGCCTAAAAAGCTATGCAAAAACTAGTTCAAAGCTTCCCAATTCTGCTAGCAATACAATTATAGGCACCAATCTCCTTGCCATTGATATACTGATCAAATCCAACTTCGGCTTGACACTCCGGTATAATCTTCGCGGCGATCTCTTTCCTTTCCTCTAAAGGATGAGTCGTTATGTCCTTACCGAAGTAGCGGTAGACATCTTTGCGGACCCACTCATAAAGAGCGTCGTAGTTAATTTCCCCTTTGTTATCCGTAAATTTCCTCTCCTGCATCCAACATACCATGTAGTCATCTATTAACCTATCGTGAACGTCGCCAATCTCGAGGGTGGTGGTATGAAACCAACTATCGAAGAGCTCCATGGACACCTTCAGTTTTTGACTACATATCACATCGGCGGAATCGAAAAATGTACACTGCAATGATAACGAGAGTGATTTAGTTTTTCAAAATTGGTTTTAGGTACCTACCTGTATAAGCTGAGAGAGTGCTGCGAAAAGGCAAAGTCTTAGCTCGGTCTTCATTGTTGAATGATAAATTTGCCCACTGTAGGACTTTTATGCGGACGGTTTAATTGGAAGGAAAGGCTAAGTTACAAAAAACAACAGGTTTAGTTAAGTAACTCTATTCAAATCCATGAAAGCAGTTTGTTTTAATTTACATTCTGTTTGGGTTCTCAAAGCAATTTAAAGTCCAAAAAAACAAGCACCTTGCAAATGAAGTGACATTGCATTGTATGTAAAACATTTCCAGTTCCTTTTTTTAGTAAAGAATGTGGGTTACAGTAGAATATGATTCTGAAATGGCACAATATATAAACAAGTATTCAAAATAGACAATGGTGAGATGTACTACACTAAAAATAAATAAAAAAAAAACTGGAAAACATTGACAAGTATTCTAGTACGATCAGATACGATTTTTAGAAATATTAACAAAGAAAAACGTAAAAAAACTGGTATTGAAGGGCTTTTGGTAAATTCATACTTATACCTACATAGGTGTCTATGGGGTGGTATTTTGTAACCGGTGTTTTGCTCTCACAGCATTAATTTTGCAGGTCCAAATGGGACACTGCATTTTTTATGTGCCCGAAAGTAAGGGTCTCAGCACTACATACAGACACACCTAAACAATAATTATTTTTATTCACCTTTTTTTTTAAAAGAAAAAATATTTATTTAGTTTATAGATGTGAAAGGTATTCAATATTTAGTAGAAATAGAACTAACATTGGACTACGACTTTCTCATTCATGGAATCGCGGGATAGTTATAATACAACTGATGCTATTAGATATTTTCTTTCAGGAAAATGTATTTGGATTTAAATTCTTTTGATACCTAATAGGTGCGAATTTTTTCTTGATTACAATAACCCAATTTCGGTGTTTCTTTGGTACTAGTAAGCGGAAATGTAACTTTCAAGGACGTGATTAGACGTGCTTAGTTTACTGAACTATATGTTACTGTTTAGTAAATTGGAAAAAATCCTCAGTAAGCAGTTGCACCAAAAATAGATTACCTCCAACAATGGGACCGATTTAATTTTAAAATGTTGACAGTTTTTTAGATATAATTTCGTCATGACTGCTTTGGTCGCCTGTATCGCCCAATTGGATAAAAACCACTCAAGATATTACCTCTCACGAAAAAAGGAACATAAATTTAATTGGTATAACCTTTGGCAATGACACCAGCGGCATAATCCTATACCAATTCCCACTATTGAAAGAGTAAATAAATCGTTTTGGTGTCCCAACCTAATTAAGTGTAGCTCCCCTCCTTAATGTTACTCGTATCAAAATCACTCAAGTTCAAAGTTCCAGCGGAAGAATAATAATTGCTTGTAACTAAAGGTCACATCTTGCTCGAAATTCTAGCATAAAATTTTATTTGGGTGATTTAAAGTAATTCGGCGGGAAGGATGATTATAAATAAACTCAAGCACCCCAATCTTATCTCCCTAACTAACATAAACTAGTACGAAAATTTTACGTTTGCTATTATTTCAAGGGAATAGGGTAAGAGGGTAGACGCTCTGGAGAAAACCGCATTGCTGATTTCTGTTTCAACTAATTTACAGTACTATTAGGACGAAAGAAATTCGTTATTTTGCAAAAGGATAACAATTCAAGATATTACGGAGAAGATATTATTCACGGCTGTCGGACCACAAAGCAAGTGCATCCAATGTAAATTACCACCGTAATGACGTTTTCAATTTTGGAATGAAGTTCTATTGTCGTTTTTATCGCCATAGAAAGGGGGTTAGCACACGCAAATTATTAATTTGTTGGTCCATCCGCGACTAACATTTTCATTTGTTTTACGCTTTCTCATTCCGACATTTGCGTTGTCGCATTATGCGTAATTTGTATACGTTAAGGTACCGACAAGTTCAATTAATCCACCTTGATGGAAAAACTTAGATTCAACAACAGCTTATCCCTTCCTGCTGAACAACTGCCAAGTAAATTTTCGATTAAAGCAGAAATTTCATTTATGCATAGGTGGTTTTATACATAATCAAGAAAACTCAATTTGGGTGCTTTTAAATTTCCGGTTCGCGATTTTATATCGTACAAATAAAAATAAAATGCCCATTTACAGATACAGAAAAACCTTAATGGTTTTGTTAATAATTTCGTGGCTTAAAAATCGATATAACTACTTACTTTATACTTGGAAGTTAAGTTTGATATTCGAACTCAACACGCCATGAATCGATAGGATTAAGAGATTTTGTACAAAACCTGTTGTTCCTGCTTGTATATCGTTATTATTTACTAGAATCTGGGCGAGTGTCAGATTTCATTTTCAGTCCGGTCGATCTAACCTGAAACGCGGCATAGGGCTCGAGCTGTTTCGATTTTGATAAAACTTTTACATTATCTTCAATCTTAAGTTTATGTTCCACGGAAAGTTTGTGTTTTTCAATTTAAGGAAATGGAAAATGACTAATACAAACAGCGCAGAAACGATATTACCGCAATGTAATGTGGAATAAGTTAGTTTGACATAATCGATCTTTTCTAACTATAACCGAGTAGTTTAGTGTCCAATGCAGATGACCCGAGTTCGATACCCAGCTCCGGCGGGCTTACATTGGCATTTACGCTTCTCGGTGCGGGTTCATCCCCAATAAATGAACACCATTTATCTGTGACACGCAGAACTTGGTTTTATACACAATTTTGTTTAACTTTTACAAAGGATACTTTAACTTTACTGGGATAGGCAGTCATTGAGTAAAATAAATGGGCAATATTAGGTTATCATGTTAATGTATTGTTTATTACACGCATACCATGCGTTACTTGTTTGTTTATGAGAAAAGTTTAAAATCCTACACACGGTTCGACTTTATTTAAATATAAGTAGGGCCATACGAAATTATTGCTTTTATTTAATTTGGTAAGCCATTTAAAGTTGATAATTTGCACGTGTTTTTCTTTGTTGCAATTTTTTTTATGTTCTTTTTGGGTCAAAGTTTGACCCAAAAAGAGCACATAACGCTATATTACTTTTTTTAATAGCACTAAGAGTTAAGGACATACCCTATAAAAGTGTTGAAAATGGGACAACGTATACAAGGAATTGTTTATGTATGTTTGTAAATTGTAACATAAAGTGGCGGTCTATCTAAATTCATATTTTTAAACGAGCGTTACGAAACCTTTTCTAAACATTAATATGAGTCACCTTATAAACGAAATATATTTATTTGAGCAGTGTCGATGCTATACATTTTTTAAACTGGTCACATCAACAAAAAAACTTTAATACGTGACTGATTGTATAAACAGAAATGTTACTTTCACGTTTCGTATACTTTCCACGAAGTAATAAATAAATCCCGAAATGGATATTTAACTTGTAAAGAAAGCCGAGAAGAAAGCGCACGGGAGGGTAGTTAATAAGAGGCCTTTGTAGAGTAACTCACTAAAAAACAGGTGCAATTTGGTTGTTCAATGAGTAGACCGTTACTAAAAATCTACACAATTGATGAAATTGAATCGTAGAAGTGAAATGTAGTCAGGCAATAGTCAGTTCGAATCCACCATACGGATATTGCAAAGGTAGGTTTCATTTATACTGAATAATTGAATTGAATACTTAATTTCACCTCGCCTTTGTTTATAATACACAAATTTAGTGATCTAGTTGTCCCGAAATAGATAAGGGTAAATGCCACCGATGGGGGAATGGCCCGAGGACAGACTTAATTAAACTTACCGTTGTCGAAATTAGGCATTGTGCTTAATTATAATTAACTAAAATTAAGCGGTGCTAAACTATGCGTTCGGTTATCAATTATTTGTAATTGGAACTAGAATTAAGTTTGCTAATTACGCAAGATGTTACTAAATTATATTAACTTAGCTGAAAGGATTAATTAATTCCTTTTTCCTCCGCTTGTAATTGAGTTACATTTTAATGTTATCACTTCATGAATCATGAATATGGATTGTGAAGTGTTTCAAAGAAAGGTTTAGGTTGATATTAAAATGTTTACTGCTGCTGACAATAAGGCCAAATAGTGCCTTAAGTTTTGGTTCTGTATGAAGCAGACCCAGGCGGAACTACGTTTATTATAAAGACATTATTATTTTGTCGATGGAGCTTTTGAGCCTCCAACGTTGGTTCTGTAAATCGCCGCCCATTTCAACCCCTAATATCAGTCCGCGTTTCCGCGATCAAGCGGTGCCGAGTACTGCCATTTATGCATTCGCTCGTAGTAGACCGAAAATGGCCCCAATCAACGAAACAATCATCCCAAATAACTATGATGTCTTTAACCAGCCATTGCACAAAGGAGCGTAGATGATCTCCTTGGAGTTCTATTTAAATAAAAATGTTTGCCAAAGCTGCAGAAAAGGCAAAGCGGGAGTAGATTGTATAAAATACGTAATTAAGCGCGAGCCATACATACTAGACTACTCATTAAATTAGCACAAATTCAACGGAGTTTTGTCCCTGTAAGGGTTGTAACTGAGAAATTAAACAACCTGAAAATGTAACATCGGGCATCAAAACAATAACGCATTTCAGAATCTTTGCAAAAAAAGAGAATATTGTAAGAAAAAACGAACGGTTCAATATAATGACATAAACAAGTATAGGTACAATCTTAAATATAAAGGTTTCTAAACCTTCTTTTAAAGTAGGCGTCGACGTATGGCTTCCAATTTTCTCGTTCCCATATTCACAAAGGTTAACATCCACTTGAAAATCAAACGTCAGAGTGGAAATTGAATTTCGTTGCGGCCTGTCACATTCTACCCCATCATTCTTATAATTAGAGAACGTCGATTACACATCTAATAAACACTAGGCCCTTCAAAACTTGACGGTATTAGTAATAAGCTTCAGTTAGAAATTTTGATGATAAACGCAACCGTAATTGTAATTAACCCCCCTTAGATAATTAAGAGTGATATAGGTTGACATTCAACATTAATTTTTAAGTGTCCGAGGCACGAAACTTAAATTTTTACTCTTGTAAAAGGTGATCGACATTCGTAATTACCAATGTCACTTTGGTGAGTAAAGCTTAATCAATTAAAGTGGTTTTATATACGTAC